ATATATATTAGAATATTTGAATATTTGAAAAGTATTCAAGAATATCAGATGGAATAATTTTACATATATATGTTTGTGTGTGAGTATAATTAGAATTAGTATTTTATAGAATGTTGGAGAATAAATATTTCTGAAAATATTAGATAATATTAGGATTTTATATAAGAGACAGATATATTAAAATATTGAAATATTAGAATTAGCATTAGTAGAACAAGACAGAATGCTGCAAAGATTAATTGAACTCAAGACAAACTTCTTTACAAAAATTTTTTATCAATGTTGTTTTATCAGAGACATTGTTTAAAAGTTTTCTGTAACTATTTGGTTGAGTTTTATGAATTTCTGAAATACTCTATATATCTTTTAATATTTATATTCTGGTGTTTTTATTTACATTAAATATTTGTGTATCTATTTGATGAAGAAAAAAAAGTGACATTTTAATAAGTAATATAAGTCATAAGTATGTTCTTGTCGAGATGAATCTATGAATCTTTGTATATACAAGAGCACAAAGATTTAGTATTAATTTAAGAATGTTTCACAATCTTTGTTTAGATTTTTACCAATCTTTGCATGTGATAAGTATGATATAAATAAAAAAAAACATAACAACTTGTTTCAACAACAACACATTTGGCTCATACATTTCCTTTCTCTCTATTATATATAATTGAAATAGAATCCTAAATTTTTAAAATATTGATTTACGTTTCTTTATTTTTCTAATTTAAAAAAAGATTTACACAATGTATCAATTTATATTTTATATTTGTACATTTCAGTTATTTTGGGTTTCACAGATTCTTGCACTTGTTGGCAGTTTATTTTGCATGTGCGACTTTATAATAATTGATGTGTGTATATCCGAAAAATTTCTTTATTAAAAAAGAAATAATGTTATAATTTATTATGAACAAGAATAAGAATCAAAATTAGTGTTTTTATTAATTTTCTCATCAATTTTTTTTCTATTGTGTTTTTATTGTGTTTGGAAATTTATAAAGCATATAGAAAGTATATCTTGAAATATATAAAATACCACATATTTTGTAAAATATTATATTGAAATCGACGAGATATATTGATATTTTAGAAACAGCAATTGGATGTATACACAATGTGCATATAACTAAGTGCTATTATATACAAGAAACAATACATATACCATGGCGTTAATAATTGAACAAAGACAAATCAACAGTGATAATAAGAATATTATGGGGGGAAATATATAACGAAATTAAAAAATGATCCATTTAATAAGCAAAATTTTTTATCATTGACAACGCTGGGTTTACACATGCAATAGAACATCGAAACTTTCAACTTGATTGGTAGTTGGATCACAAAGGGTTAATTCATACAGTATTTAAATTAATTTTATTTTTATCTCTATTTTATATCTCACATTTTTTATGTTTAATATTGTTATTTCTTGAGTGTATGTAGTATATTTCGTGTGTGTATATATATATATATAATTTTTTTATTTTGAATATAATTTATATTTAGTATATGTTTGGTATTTCTATATTTAATAGATTTCTTGAAAGAATTGTTCTGTACAATAATTAAAAAAAATACTACGTTTGAAAATTGATATAATTAATGTATGATGATTTTCATATAGGTATTAAATGAAGCAGTGGGTGCACTGATGTGGCACACGATAATTTTGACAAAGGAGGATTTGGAAAAGTTCAAGACGCTGCGAATTATCGTTCGGATTGGTTCCGGCGTGGATAACATCGATGTTAAAGCAGCCGGCGAGCTCGGCATTGCGGTGTGTAATGTGCCTGGCTATGGCGTTGAGGAAGTGGCCGATACAACTCTTTGTCTTATACTAAATCTTTATCGACGCACTTACTGGCTTGCGAATATGGTGCGCGAGGGCAAAAAGTTCACAGGACCAGAACAAGTAAACTTTTATATATTTAGTTACTATTATTAGCTACTATATTAGAATTATATTCTTTTTATTGAAAATATATATTGTTATTATTATTTAAAAGTGGAAGACCTACTAGTTATTTAAAATTGTTGTAATTTTCTGTATGATATAAATCTTTTGTCACGTTTTGCATGTGTTTCAGGTGAGAGAAGCAGCAACTGGTTGCGCCAGGATACGGGGTGACACACTAGGTATTGTGGGCCTAGGTAGGATCGGTTCTGCTGTTGCGTTGCGTGCCAAAGCTTTTGGCTTTACTGTCATCTTCTATGATCCTTATTTGCCGGACGGCATCGAGAAATCGTTAGGTCTCACCAGGGTTTACACATTACAGGTTTGTACATTTTATATTTATCATAAAGTTATAAACTAACTTTAATGATTGTATCAACTGTTAGATCGATTTGGAAGTATAAATTTTTTAATATAATGATATAATGTAATATTTAATAAGAAAGTTTGTACATTTTATAAAAATTGATTAATTTTATATCTGTCCTAAATGCTATTCTAGAAATTAATTTTAATCATTATATTTTTATTTCAAGATATAGATTTTTTCGTATAATATTATATAATAAAAATATACACTGATAAAAATGATAAATTTTTATTCTAATTACACATAAAACGTAACTTTCTTGGATATTAATGATTAGCAATTTAATTTATTTCAATGTTATTATCGAGAGAAATCAATTTTAGATTATTACATGTAAAAGTATAAATTAAATTTCTTGATGTAATAGTTTAATGTAAATTGTAATTTTATATATCAAAGAGAAAAATTATATATTTATTCTTATGTTTAATGATCAGAATATATATATATATATATATATATATATATATATATATATATATATATATATATATATATATATATATATATATATATATATATATATATATATATATATATATATATATATATATATATATATATATATATATATATATATATATATATATATATATATATATATATATATATATATATATATATATATAT